GGATGCACTCTCTCTGATGGAAACCAAACTGCCGGCAGTTGATTTCAATCGTTGAAATTTTGTTTTGCAAAATATATTTATATACAGACATATATATATATATATATATATATATGTTATGGTTTCGAAATGTTTGCAAAAGGTTTTAATTCCTGGGATCCAAGTGAGTAGAGAGTGCAACACTGTTCCTTGCAGCCGAGGGAGAGGTCATCTCTTGTCGGGTAGTGTTTGATCGTTATGGGCTGAGAGGTTAAGTGTAAGACCATTGAGGGTAATACTTGATGGGCTAATCATGCATCTGCTCACAGTCCTTGGGTGTTATAAGGTGGCTTGGCCCAGGGACCACTTAGGGTAAGTCTTGGGCCCATAGAGCCCATGTGATGGGTTTCAGGGGGTGCACTATCCATAACAGTGTATTCGGCCAGGCCTTGTAACAAAGACTGGGCTGAATCCATGTGGTTGATGTGTAGATCAATGTTTAGGTCCCACGCCATATAAGGAACCCCAACTAGGTAGCAGTTTGGAAGGCTAAGTGAGCACATAACCTTAATGGGCCTAAAGCCCATTTCGAACYGGAAACCTCCTAAATAATATCCACTCAGAGAGTCCAAGATCTAAATAAGATTTAGATCTGGAAACCTYCTAATAGGATTGGGAGAGGGCTGATCTAATATGTAGATAAGATAAGGGTTCTCCCTTATCACTTAAAGGGAATTCTGATCCAAATATGATTTGGATCAGCAACTCCTAATGGAATTAGGAGCTGATCCCTTTAAGCCTATAAAAGGAGGAGGGGGCGACAGCCTTTGGACAGATCTTTTCACATTCTCTTCAGCTGAAAACGCAGAAGGAAGAATTCAGCAACCCTGCAAAATTCTTTGTTGCCGCCTCCTTCCTGCAGCCGCCATACCTCCAGTTCGATCTCCAGTTCAGTGGGAGAAATCAAGATTGGATCTTGATATCAGTTTCTTGTGAAGGGAATGATAGGAAGTTGTGCTCACGTGTCGTCTGCTGATTATTGCGAATGATTAGGTTCTTAGGAAGAACACTGCTGATTCTGCTCCATCCTGTGCGAAGGATTAGGTTCTTAGGAAGAACACTGCTGATTCTGCTCCATCCTGCACTGCGCCATCTTCAGTGGGAGTAGTATTTGGATCCTTCCTTGGGCGTGAACACCTCCATTGGGAGATACTACTTCTCTGTATCAGGTATATCCCTCTCCTGCTGTTTTTGGTTCAGATCTGGTCTGGTTCTTAGTTCAAGATTGATCCATGAAAAATATGATTTTTCTAAAATAGGGAATACGATTCCTAGTGGAGATGGGAGAAATTTTTGAAATTCGCCCATTCTATTCCGCAAGATCCGGGCATCCATAGGATAGATCTCCCATCCCTTCAATATTCAAGGTCCATTTCTATTTGTTGAAATCGGCGTTATCTACGCAATCATTCTAAGAAGAAATAAGAGAATTATACACTTTAAACTATGACTATGTGTTGGTTTTCAATGTAAGCTATACACTACAAGAAAATGGGTCTACCGTCGGCTTAGGCCTTAAGACCGCCGGCTTTGATCTATGGCGGCGGTCCTCATTCTACCCCCTAAACCTCTGTCGGCTTAGATCAAGACCGCCGACTTAGATGCAAAAGACTGTTGCCTTAGGTGGCCGGTTCAAATTGCTTTGAAGCGGCGTTCACACTGAGCCGCTGGCTTAGCATTAATTAGGCGGCGGTTTAGACCGCCGGCTTAGATACCAAATGACCGCCGCCTTAGATTTCTATCAAACTCCCTCGTGTTATTAGGTGGCGATCCGAACTGCCAGCTTTTATGCTAAATGACCGCCGCCTTATGTGTTGTTTATGGCTAAATCGGTGGATTCATGTCTTAGATCTTCTTTTTCATTTTTTATTTATACTAAGTTAATTCTAACACTTTTTGGTCATGTTGATAGCTAAGCCGGCGGACATGACCACCAGCAAATACCAATTTTTTCAAAAAATATGCATATACCCGCTTAATTGCAGCATTTTGTGGTACCTGAATTTTTTATTGATCTAGCATTTTCATACCTATTTAATACAGCAAAACCGTTTGATAAAAATGAATTTAAAATGAAATCTATTAATTCAAAGATTATATATTAAAATATCCAAAAGACATTGTTCAAATACAATATCCAATTAACATATAAATAATACAAAAACTTTAAAGAATAATCAAATTCTCTAATAATGCAGCACATATTGATTGAACTTGCAAATCTAATAATGCAGCCCATTGAACTGCCAATGGGCAGTTAAGAAATTGGCAGGAACGCCCACAAAAAAAATCTTGAGCWGCCAGCCCAGCTCAACATGACCCTTTCTACCTTTCCTATGATAGCATCTATTGGTTCAGCCTTGGACGACTAAAAAATTCTTTGATTTCACTCCTTCAATATTAGCCAAGAAATTGCAAATAATAAGATGTTCCAAATCAATCTCCCATTGTCACTTTGTTAGATAAGCAGGCGGCCCTCCACTCAGAAATAAGGTTTGCATTCTACAACAGTAAATGGTGGGACCCAACACAGCCGGAAAAGCTTGGAGAAATGGCACCATAACTGGCAAGTGTAGGGGCAATGAATTAAGAGATGGACAGATTTAGAGGCTGATCTACAAAGACTTAATCTTGGATGGGACTTGATCTTTCCCGATCCAAGGCCAAACTACCTTCTCACCGAGGCCCATAAAAGCTAAATAGCATGACTTGGTGGAAAACTGGCCATCCTTCTCACAATTCACAAACCCAAACTCTAGTATCCCTAGACTGGACACGGTCCTAACCTTTGGCATTTTCTGCACAAAGTGGCTGCTCTCAAACCCTAACCCATATTCTCTCATGCTTGCCAGCCCAATATTTTACCACTGTACCAACTAACGGCCCCTAATTGAAGAAGTCAATGTGGCATCATTATTTAGTTTCATCAGCAACCAGATCAATAGATAATTGTTACTAAATGAAATGAAAGATAAAATAAGTCGATTCCCTGTATCCAAACATAAGATGAATGAAGGGAATATGTTGACAACCACCAACTCTAACTCAAATCAGCTTTAATATTAACTATTTGGGATTAGTTTGACCCAACTACCACCTCAAGAAACTATCTCATATTGTACTCATTGGAAGAATCAATTTGTTTGTACATCAGGGAAAAAAAGGTTTCCTGGAATAAGATGAATACAGAAAAACTAGAACTAGGAATTACCTGACTCACACTAAGAACAGCATCAACATGGATGTCAGGGCCTTCTCTCTGAAAAACAGGGTCTTCTCGGACCTAGAAATGAAAAATGCCATCAAACTCTTAGAACCAAACAAGGTGTGGTGATTGATGCATTCAGATATTGTTGAATTGAATGATGAATTGAATTCGTTGTTAAATAAGGAACCAAATGGGTGAATGCATCGGTGAGTTCCAGCTGAAGTTTCCCTGTTACTCAAGGAACCAAATTGTTTGTTTAGTCAGTTCGGGAACTCGCCACTCTTTCAGGACTCCCTTCATAGAACTTGGGAAGCATCAAATTAAAGTAACAACCTTCAAGAAATGATTTGACATTGCTGTACTGAATTTGCAATGCAAAAAAAAAAAAGGAAAAGAAAAGAAAAGTGGTTTCAGGTCTCTATTTCCAAAGCTTTTTGCACTGGAAAGGTTCCCAGAGCTGTTTGCACTGACCATGCCAGTAACAAAATGCAAACTTTTGTGTTGCTGGGGTGGATAATATTCCCACCTTGAAGTAATCTTCAAGTTGATTTTGATAAAATCTATTCTTACTGATCTAAAGAAATGCAAAGCATGCTAGGCAGTGGTGCCCCTGGAGTTTTATGGGCAATCTAGAATGAAAGGAATAGTAGAGTTCTTGAACAGAAGTGCAGCCCAGAGGAGGAGGTTTATTTCCTGTGTCGTGGGCATGATAAAATTTTTGTTATCCACTCATACTTGTTCTAGTGGAACTGATCTATCACACCCTTTTTTTAATATAGATTTTTTGGGGGGTCCTTAAAGGTTAGGTTAATGTACAGAAACTCTTTGTACAGGGGACCATATTGTATATTTTTTTCAGTTAACACAATTTACTTTAACTTTTTCAGAAAGAAGAACAAGAAGGGCAATGGGCTCACAGATTTCCATATAGAGAAGTTAAGGCATTGCTCGAAATAGCTGTTCATCTGGGTTCCACAATCAACTAATGCCTTGGCTGATTTTTTGATCAAGGATGTGGTAGGGAGACATAATCTGTTAGAGAGGGCTCCATGCCCATGTGTACAGCCTCAAGGCTGAAGTGCCATTTATAACTTTAGGTGCTAGTTTACATTTTGCTGTTTTACTATAGGGAATGTATGGCATTTCATTGCTGATATAAAAGGGCAACACAGTACCAGAGGCCCCATAGGAGGTGTTTCCCCTCTGTATATTGATTAATAAGAAAGCATCTACAAAATACTTTTATAGACCCAACAATTCTTTTAATGAAAGCATAGACAAGTCAAACAATGTTATAACAGGAAATTTAATTTATCCATGATGATGGTCAATTCCTTAGTGGGGATGCTCAACAATTTCCTCTCCCATATTGACATTCACAGGCCTTATCAACTTAGTATACCCATGTTTTCAAGGGATGCTTAGAAATAACAATTTTAACAATATAAAAATGCATGTATCATTGCAATTACTGCAAATATTCTCTACTCTAAAGCTTAACAAGGAATATATGGGAACTGTCTTTCTTTTGATAAGTAAATATATGGGAACTATCTAATGACATAAGAAAAATACAAAACTGAAACTGAAGAAATCTTGGGAAAATTTTTATAGTACCACTTCCATCTTGAAGTGAGGAGTTGCGACTTTCAATATGGTAAAATTACAGAGAGTCAAAAGAGGGTACATCTCTAAACTAGCAAACAGAGTTTTACTAGATAGAACAGTGCAGAACCATCTGTACTTAACAACCATGATGCTCACAACTTGATTGCAGAACCATCCAAAGGAAAATGTTATGGACAAAATTGGATTTTGGATTTCAAAGAAAGTAGACCATAGATGTAGATGGTGTGCATGTATGTTTTCTCATAGTATTTTAGTCCCTATGCCTCAAGTCCTAACGTTAGCAAGCCACCTTGGATATTAACTTTTGAGTCCAAACTCAATCTATTCCATCCAAATTTTAATCCATTTCTAACTAGTTGGTTTTAGCCCACATGCTTCAATGTAAGTTTATTCTCTAATATCAATTTGTAAAGCTATGCTTGAACCCTTGTATTTATTTTTAACTTTTACAACTTAAAATTATTTTTTGAAATTTTGGATGTGTTTGTCTATTGTTTTTTTTATCCCTTTTTTTTACTCCATGTTCTATTTCTTTATGTTTGTGATTRTAAGTTCAGATTTTAAGAAAATATTTCAGCTCATCTCTAACCTCAAGTATATTTTAAGATTTTGCTTTTCTTGTATCAATGATTATCCAACAACTATAATCTCAACTTTGGAGATACTACAAAAACTGACTATAGCGGCATTTTTTTTATGCCGCTATATATCAGTTTATACGCCACTATATACTTATGGCGGCGTATTTGTGGCATATCGTCTTATGCCGCTAAAAACTATGCCGGTATAAGAAAAAGCGGCATTTAGAGAAACGCCGCAGGAAACAATTCTATAGTAGCGTTTAATCCATCAATAGCATCATATGGATATGCCACTATAAGTCTAAAAAATTAATTTGTATATGCCTTTTGCGGCATATATAATTGCTACTATAAATATAATATCTATAGCGGAATTTTATAAACGCCACAATAGCAATAACTAATTGGGGCCTAGCATTGGCGTTTATAAATGCCACAATAGATCTATTTTAGTGAATGTGTTGTGGCATTTGTAACTTTTGCTATAGATCTATTTGATTGAACCTGTACTAGTGTTTATAACCACTGCAATAGATTTGTTCGGTTGAACTTATAGTGGCGTTTATAACTGCCACTATAAATAATTAAAACCTGTTTTATCAGCTTTCATATTCAATATTAGAATCATTAAAAACCTGTAATTTTAAAGCAAAATTCAGCAAAATAAATACTCATTTCAAATAGAATTCATACATTTATATTTTAAAAGAATATTTACACAAAAAAGATATACTATAAATGTTAACACATGAAAATTCAAAAAACATATCAAAATATTAATCAAAAGTCTTCATCCATACATTGATCGCTATTGCTCATTGCGTAGTATGCAATATCAACCTACAAAAAAAATGCAAACTTTTGAGAGTCCATAGAATATGTCTATTACATCTAGCCATTTGAATTCAGCACCCAACTCTCTTGCAATCCTTTCTATTTCCCTATAAGCATTCTTGAGAGTCTATAGAATATGTCTTGTCTAGCCCAAGAGATGATTACTTTTTGAGTCCCCTTCCACCTCCATTTGACTGAGTCCCAATTGCTTAGCTAACCTAAGACCCTGCAGTAAAGTCAACAATTCAACTTTTATAAATGGCAATCATTGTGTATACTAACTATTCAATTATGTCAAAGAAGCAGGTAGATAAAGGAAAATGTTTTGTTGAATTTTTTATTAGGAATGCATAGAGTGTTGGAATCAGAAGTAAATACTTCATCCACTTAGAACGTTCCATGCAACACTGGTTGAAACCCCTTTTCATAAGTGGATCTGAGCTTTTTCCAATTTTTCATATCATGTAAAACTCGGCATACTACCTCAACTGTGTACAAGATTTAAACTAAGTAAGCAATATATAAGGACATGATTAAACTATACAATTCCACTTACAAGGGTACATGTACCCATTCCTTACCATACCCTACTATTTCATTCTACTGTGAAAAACTGGCATAGTATAAAAAACATATTGAAAGTGACTTAGAAAGTTTTAGCTCCTAAGGCGTTTTAGTTGTAATGCTTACTATTAGGGGGACTCAAGGTGTGATAAGATCCAATGACAAAAAGTCTTCCATTTATAGTCCCTTGATGGGGGTATGGTTCTAGTAAGATATTTGGAGTAAAAAAGGAGCACTTGCTTCTGGTTATCATTGTTAGAACAACCTCCCTTCCTAAAAGAAACAAAGATAGATTCATTTATTCATTCATTTGTTATTTGGACTCTCATGGAATCTGACCATTTTCCAGGAACTTCAAGAAGATGAAACCAATCAAGTTACTAATCTTATTGAGCACTCCAAATATGCATTGATCTCTCCCTCATAATATAATAATAATCTCTAAGATTCCAACTCGTTTTTGGTCCTATCAGAAAACCTATACCTATTCTGACAAATCCACTACCAAGAATTGACGAATAACAGAAAATTAATGAAACCTTTGCACCTAAACAATTGAAAGTCATATTCAAATGAAGAAAMATGAAAAACTTGAGGTCACAAAACAAAAAAGATATGGAATTGAAACTTCTATTAAACCTATACCTATTCTGGCCAAGACTGAACACTTTCAAACTTCAAAGGCGAGACTATAGATAGAAATCTTTCAGACTTATTAGCTAAAAGATGGAGTTAAATCAGGTAAACAACAAAATAAGACAAAAGAATAAAAGAAAATAGTAGAAAAATTCAAACTTGATACAAAACTAACAACCAAATAAATTCCAAACTGAAATTGGAAAAGAAAAACCTAAAACAAATTAATCCTTCAAAGAATGACTATTGATATCTTGCACGAGCAGATGTAGATGAAGAGGGAAAGAACATACCTGAATGGAGAGCACCAAAGAGAATGGGCAGATGATGAAAAAGCTCTTGGTGTTCTTTCACGAGCAACAACCTCCGGTATCTAGCACGAGCAGTGAAGGAGATGTGCACGGTTTCTAGCAAGAACAAAGGGAGACGAGTTTAGGGAGAGACGAAGGAGATGCGTGCGGTTTCTACCAAGAACAGAGGGAGATGAGGTTGGGTAGAGACGAAGGAGATGCTTGCCATTTCTAGCAAGAACAGAGGGAAACAAAAAGGTAGACAAGGTTTGGGAGAGACGAAGGAGATGCGCGCGGGAATGAAAGATATTTTTCTTTTAGTATTCTCTTCAAGTTACTAATAATTTCTAACCGTTGAAATCAATGGTTGAATTAAACCACAAATGTAGCAGCGTTTAATATTGTATTTTAAAGACACGTGCATTATAATAAAATGCAATGAGTGGCGTTTTTAATGTGATTTAGCGACAATTTAATATCTGCCACTTAAAATGTACCTATAACAGCATTTATTGGTGGCATTTTCAAAATACACCACAAAAGATAATCTATAGCAGCAATAAACAAAACGCCACCATTAAAAATGCCGTTAGAGATGAAATTTGTTGTAGGATTGGTGTTTCAAGCCACCATAAATGTTTATCTTTTTTTTCTTTTTGCTAAACGTGTGCTACTAGCTCTAATTTTGTCTTGGGCTTACATAACACTAATCATAGTGTATAACTAGCTTTGATCTTAATCGTTAAAAGTCAAGTTTCATCACTCTTGTTTTTAATTCCAACTCTTAAATATATGTCTTAATATACTTTTAATTTTAGGTTCTAGGACTCACTTCAGGTGTTTGTGATCCTAGAGTGTATCCCTTTTTTTTTTTCAGTTTTCAGTGGCTCTAAGTTACAACTCTTGCCCCCTTACCTCAATGTTAAGGATATGCCTCATGCACTTTTAGTTTGCTGAACTGAACAATGATTCCAGTTCATGACTGTGAATTTTAAGTTTTTTAATTGCAATCTCTATTTTGACATGTCAAGGGAAAAATAATTCAGATTTGTATTCCGTGATTTCAAAAAAATAAATTTCAGACCTCTTGGGATTCTAAGGAAAGTTTGCATACCTTAGTCTGAATATGAAAAGRATTTCATGATTTCTGAACATAGCATGTATTGCACCTTCATTTCAGTTTAGATCAAAAGCCTAAGGTTTTGAGTCAAGTTGTAGAACTAGCTTAAGTTTTTTTTTTCTTCTATTTTTTCTTCCTCTACTTTCTAACTTGATTGGTAAATGAGAGACATTAGCGCGATTATCTTCAATTTTGAGCTTTAAAGCAACAAAAACCTAAGCTCAACTGCTTTACCTCTTTGGCCTTAAGATCTTAAAACTRTAATGTGGAAATAAATTACTTGTTTGTATCATTTCAAAGTCTGAATGTAGATTTGTATTATTCAATTCTCAGATTTCAGATCTAAACTTTGGAAGGAAACATGAATCATTATAGGTTTTTTTTTTCCAGCTTAGAAATTGGAATTTCAAGTATTATTTCATAATTGATATCTAAATATTTTCCTTAGTTTTGGGTTTTTAAGTTTTAGTGTTCCCCTTCCATTTCTATGTATATAACTTCAACGCTAAGTAAGATGTCAAAGTTGGTTCTAACATAGTCATTTGTTCCAAAATATGAATTGCATGCATTCTCTATTAGAATGTAAGATTTGAACTGTATAATAGGTCCCATTCAAAGGGGAAATCTGTTTTTTTTTTTTCTTAACCAAAAAAGTGATAGATAGATTGCATATTGATCACCTTTTCCAAATTGKTCCATTATGGGATTGTATGTTTCCTTTTACTATCATGTTTAAGGTTTGATTTCAAAAACAAAAAATCAGTTCCTCTTATATGCTATTTGCTTTCAATTTGAACTTGATGAAACCAATTTCCTTTTTCTATTAATCTATTGAAGGTTGAATTCAAGTAGCAAATCCTTGTTTSGTTAAGTTTTCTCTTCATTAAGTTTCTATGGTTAGATTGTTTAATAATTAGATTTGATTGGCAATAGATCCTAAATTATTGTTTTTCTTTATAAAGTTTTAAAAACCTAGTTTCTCTTAGAATCCACATGTGGACACCTAAACACTTGTAGGATTGTATGTAAAATTGGACAAGTGGCTACATTTACCCCTTTTTTCTTTAGCTTGTATGTTTTGATTTGATATTGCATGCTTGAGACACTCACAATAACACACACTTTCATGAAAATTTAGTTTTAGAACCCCTAATTACCCATTAGAGGAGGGATAGTAGGTGTGTTCCACTGGACTTTGGTCCTTCAGATCCAACAAAACCCTCAAACCAGCCACCAATCAAAGAAGCCTGTTTATTCATGGGTGGAGGTTTGAAGGCTGGTGGCCTTGATGAAGCCTTTGAGTCTAGAACTCCAACTCCCAATAACCTCATGCATTGCACTTAGTACACCCATATATGGCAAGCTTAAGTTGGAACTAGGATAGAGGAAGCTTAGAATTTAGGATTAGGACACCCAATGTGCTTCACTATGTGGTTKCCATCCTTAAAAGTAGGGTCAAAATAAAACCCAAATATTATCAATATAATAAGAAAGACCAAGCCTAATACAAGGTTATCTTCCAACTTCTAATGAGCCCCATTCAAGAGTAATAAAGCATATCCTCCATTTTAAGTAGTACTCAAGCACATCCTCCATTTTAAACCATAAACCAACTCTAAGTATTCCTAACTTACATCTAAAACAAACTCCAAATCTAAGGTATCAAGTCTCAAACCTCCAATTTCGAGTTGAATATCCATAAGACAAACCCTTATCAAACCACTAACCTTAGGCAATCTTAACCAATTTAAGTTAAACCTTTGATTTCAAACATCCAAAGCCTTAGATCAAGATTACATAAAAAATCTCAAATGTTGAAATTTACCTAAGGGAAAAAATAAACTTACAAAATACAAGATGACTAAGTAGTTTGTAGAACCCATAGTCCTATTGCTTGTCTTTGTTCATCCCTGGTCAAAGCTGAGTAAATGCATGACCCTAAGAATCAATTCCTAGGGAATAGAAAAAAAATACTTTTTGGGCCTACTGATTCTTGTAGAATCTGGGAATGTCCAGTAAATACATTTATGGTTAGGGATTAAATCTCCCTAAACCAATGTCAAAAGACATCTCCATTAAATCCATAATCTCTTTGAGCYTACTCATCTCTTTAAAATTTGCTTGTCTAGTAGATACATACATGGTGTAGGGATTAAATCTCCCTTCACCAGTATCAAAAGACCCCCTAATCTCCTACTTAATCTTTGAAGAAATCAGGCATCTCTCAAATTCAGGTTTAATAGATGTGTGACTCTAAGGATTAATTTGTAAGGAATCAAAACACACATAACACACACACATCATCCTTTCAATATTGGGTGGTGGCTAGTAAATATGTGTATAGTTTAGGGATAACCTTCCCTTAACTAGTATCCAAAGACACCTCCATGCTCTTCTTCTCTGTTATCCTCAAGCCTGCATCTCTACTCATTTGGGTTCAGAAATGATTAAAACAACTAGAAATATTGCAATAATGGCCATTTGACTCTTCATTTGTTATTTCAAATGGATCAAGGATTGTTCGAGTATCGAGGGTGTTGTAAAATTCTCTATGATAAGATTTGCCAAAAGAATGATGATATTAAGGTTTTGCATGGGACTGCAACATGGGGAAATGTGATGGATTTGGCTTTAGTACCTTTAGATTGGCCTTTTTTGAAGGCAGTTTTCAAATGTTGGGACCCTGAGCGTATGGTTTTTTGCTTCGGAGATAATCAAATGTGTCCTACATTAGAAGAGGTGGCTTATCTACTCCACATGTACATTGAAGATGAAATAGCATTTCCTGTAGCTAAACAAGGATATAAAGTGCACCTGTATGAGTTCCTCAAATGCAAAAAACCTCAACTTGAGATGGTAGATGAGGAGTCTCTTTCTGTCGAGTTCCTCTTGAGGCAGAGCGTGCAGACTCTTAGGCCTAACAACCCTACTAAAGATAAGGAAGGACAGAAAAATGCTCTCTTCACGGCAATTGTAGGACACCTGCTCTTCCCACTAGATCGTAAAAGGGTCCACACACGATTGGTGACAGTACTTCAACAAATCAAAGGAACTTCATCAGTAACTTTGGTTCCAATCATCTTGGCACAAATCAAAGGCCGACCTAAAATACTAGAAAACCAACCAACTCGGGTCAAGTTGATTGGGTTGGTCGGTTTCATCAATTTGATGATTAAACCTAACTAAAATTAATTATTGTTATTTTTGTATTATAAAAAAATATTAAAAGTAGAATATAAAATATGAATAAAAATTAATTATTTAAAAAGTTGAAAAATATAAAACATTTGTATACTCTCATGTGATTCTATTAGGGTCATTTACTAGAACACATCTTATAGTTTTACATATTTACTTAAGCCTACCTTATAGTTTTCATTTTATTAAAGCATCCCATATATTTTACAACTTATTTACTTAATCAATCTTTTATCAATGAGTGTTTGTTTTGCCATTTGGCCCATGATTTTTTTTATTCAAATCACACACTTAACACTTTTTTTGTACAGGAAACAAAATTAACCAAGTATAGCCAATAAAGTGGTTGCCCGTGTCTTATAAGGGCAAAAATGGTATTTTATTTTTATTTTCTTTTGATTAAATTTATTTAAATGAAGATTAGGGTCAACACTGTCATTTTCCGTTGTCATCTAATGGAAGATTGATTAAATCTGTTTCAAATTATAAGTGGTGTTTTAGATGGTGTTTAGAAGTGTGGGCGTTTATTGGGACCGATTTTCAAGAAAAAACACCCATGCTTCCAAGACCCATTTTTCACAAAAAAAAAACGCTTTAATTTTGTTTGGGAGTGTTTCTACCACGTAGGCAGTGAGCAACACTATGTTGTTAGGTAAGGTGGTTTTCATCACCATTTTTAATGTATGTGTTGACAGGTAAGCACCACATGGGATACACGTAATCGCCAATCAATCAATTGTTGGGAGAAACGGTTCATCGATGCATGAAATGCCAAATTTGATGTTTCATGCATCAGTGGGGATCTGATTTACGAGGTGTGTCCGATTCTTCAATAAACGCCTAAACCAGACAATGAAATATATAGGTGTTTGTTGAAACGCCTATGTGGATCCAATGTGGCACCATCTTTTTGGAAAACGGCCACAGTTCCAAACATCCCCTTAGTAAAATTTTAACTATAGGGTAGATTTTAGTAAATCCCTGAAACT